GGCGCACCGGCTATAAGTAAGTTGAATTGATATACACAGTGTGAGGAATCGTAGTACTTGAGGCGACACCATTGGCTTTAAACAAGTTCATACTTTATATATATATATATATGTATATATATATATATATATATATATATATATATATATATATATATATATATATATATATATATATATATATATATATATATATATATATATATATATAATTGTAGGGAGTGTTCATACAGGACACAAGACCTGCTGTGGTTTATTTGACTGTGTATTATGTGGAAAGTATTTCCAGAAAATTTACAAATACATTTAAGCCCCCAAATAAAATAAAAAAATTATGAAAGCATTAAAGTGGTTTGGCTATGACGATTCTGATCGATGGATAGGTCTAAATATGCTTAACGTTTGACACAATTAAGAATTTTTAATATGATATATATATATATATATATATATATATATATATATATATATATAATCTCTAGGCCAGATAATTAGGATTAAAGACTTCCTAATCCAATAGATTATCTGATTAGGATTTAAGCCAAGGTTTTCGTTTCCCCCCACAGAATGTCCGTCCGGCTGGTTCGGCTCTAAGTGCCAGTATATGTGTCACTGCATGCCAAATACACCATGCAGCGCTACGGGGGACTGTGAATACGGATGTGAATACGGCTACTTTGGTCACAAGTGCCAGTATGGTAAAGTAGATTCAAGTAGAATGGATCATATTAAATAATTTATTGAAAGTATTTTGTCGTTAATCACATCCTATACTTAAATATTCTTGCGATAATGTTCAGCAATATTAAATAATATTTAAATTAACTGTGAGAAAAGTGAGACGATTACTGTTGTATACAATTTACTGTATCTCTATTATAGCAAAGCATCTCAGACGCCAGTTTAACTGCTAACTCGATAGTCTCGAGGTTGGACCCCGGGCTCGATTCTGTATGACGTCCCTGAGTACACCCAGCTTAGATGGGTACCTTACTCGCGTTATTGTAACAAAGGCGGCTGGGCATAATACTGACCACACTATCCCCTAGCATGCTGAGGTTATTGAAAACAGATGAACTCTACTTCTTGGCATAAAAAAGAAAAAAAAATGATGAATTAAAATCTTGTCATCTACCCCAGAATGAATCTGTTACCTGAAATAGATCTGTGTATATTCAGAAGGGAAAAGATGATGATAGTACAGAACATTGCCTTAGACGTAATAGCTAGAATATTATTTATATATAAAACAATGGTCTTAAAGTCCCATCACATTTCTTTGTAATACTAATGTTACTATTACATGTATACATTAATTACTATGTTTTAACAGTGGATTTCTATATGCATTTTGACCCACGTGTAAAAGTTAATTTGACTGATTGTGACTTCCACGATAAAGTACACGTAGGGTATTTTAACAACTATTATCTGTCGCACTTTACGTGGGCTCGATTCATTTATAAAGGTAATTAAAGTAGATTTTAAATTCTTAGTTTTCTTTAAGTGATGTCAAACCCCAATATATCTATTAAGGCTAGGAAACAAGCCATCTTAAATGTGGCACCATGTGGAACCCTCCACCCACCCCAAATACTACGACACCCTACATTTCCTCTCTTTATTACAAACTCTTTTGTTTTTTTTTTAAATTGCTGCTTGCCTATTCTGCAAGAAAGACAGAAAAGAAAACACACAATTTCACAAAATTTCAACCATTCAAGGCGCATTAAAATGTGGTATATTATTGTTGATACTGATCCACGATTAGATTTAGAGTCTCTACATACACATTCAAGTTATCGTATTCCCAGGCACACACTGAGACACAAACACACAAAGACATACAGTCTAATTTTAAGACTAAGGTTTTTTTTTCTGAATCACCGAGGTGAAAAACGTAGAGATTTGTCAAAATCTCGATTTCCAGTTGTTTTTTTTTAAATATTAAAACACAAGCATTTTTTTTTCTCTAAACAGATAATATTTTGTCAAATTATGAGGAGAATCGTGTTTATTCAAATGTGAATAGCTATTTTGGATGCGAAAGATATTACATCTCCCGCTTGAGTAGTTACGGATTTGATTTCTTTTGCCAACCATTCGTTGAATTTCGACTACTGGTAATAGAGTATTGGGAAAAAGATAATAGATGTAGGATACATTTCAGTCGAGGTCAGTCACCTATGATTTGTGTTATGAACTGACTATCTGGACTGGGTCGATGCTTGGATGAATACGTACACATACAACGACGATCCAAAAGAAAATAAGACAGGACGACCTTGATACATTTATCATCTTTAATTAGATATAGTTTACGTGACTACATCTTAATACATCGACGACGTACATAACGAAGACTTCTACACCCTCAAGCGACAAGAACAAGACTCAGACTGTCTATAACTATTTGCCTTAACAACCAAAACATACTCTCCCACGTCACATCCTAACTTGCTTAGTCACGCATTTAGAATATTTTATTAATTCCACTACACACATACTCTCAAACCCTCAACATCTTTTACTCATTCAATGAATGTTTTAAATACATGAAATTAGTTTAATAGGACGTAATATAATGTTCTATTTGTCATAATAAATTGGTGTGTTGTCAAAATAGTATTAAATACGGAAATCAACGTTTTTATTCACCTTATGTTCTACGCGATATTCTCAGCTATTAGGCCAAAAAATGTATAAAGACTAGTTTATATCAAGAACTAATCGCCCATTGTTAAAACAAGATCTGTCTCGTTGAATTACACAAAAACAAAATAACGATTACAAGTATGAGCAGTTAAAAAAACCCTGAAATTTTGTAAAAACGGAAACCCGGTGTCTTCGTTCTCTACGGCCATTATTACCATGACGACGGTAAAAAGTAGATCCATCAACTTTAATTTTCCTTTTTGTTTTACTTTCCTTTTGTACTTTCTTTTCTACTGATGGAAACGTAGAACATTGTGAATTAGCACTACAATATCAATTAGAAAACATAAAAAATTAAAGTTAAACTTAACTTTGATCTTCATTTCAATCCAAACCTAACTTCTAGAACTTGGTTATTCCATATGTGTTGACCATAGGAAGAAACCTGGCTCTAAAACAGCAGGCAACAGACCCTATCACAGTGGATGGGGATACAGGCAACTCCAATTGTTTGAACTCTAGCAGCTGGAGAGTTTCCTTGGCTAGACCGTCTTATATAAATAGCATCATCATCCACACCGACAATGGTGAGATATATAAATAACGTCATCATCCACACCGACAATGGTGAGATATATAAATAACGTCATCCACACCGACAATGGTGAGATATATAAATAACGTCATCATCCACACCGACAATGGTGAGATATATAAATATCGTCATCATCCACACCGACAATGGTGAGATATATAAATAACGTCATCATCCACACCGACAATGGTGAGATATTCCTTCTGGAATACAAAACATAGTTCGTTACAGTAAAATAGAAAATATTTCAAAACATTACTTTATTCGCAGCCAAAAAAAAATTGGATTTTTCTTTTATTAGAGGGAATCTGGTCCTTTACAGTTATTGTTTATAGAAATCTCATCTCATGCATTAATAAAGATGAGATTTTCTACTATATACACAACTTTGTCCTCTACGGCATTTAGGTTATATAATCTTTCTTTAAAAACATAATTTCATAAAAAGCACACCTATATCCTCTGAGGCATCTTTGAGGGGGGGGGGGGGGGGGGAGTTCACCGACTAGCGCTCCCTCTGAACGAAATATAGCTATATCATGAAAATATGTACTTTTAACACTTTCCACATCCCCCCATAAATTTAAGTCCCCCCCCCCCCCCCTCATGTAGCCAGGAGGAAAATATCTAAAACAAAAACAACCCCCACTCGTTTTAGACCCAGTAATTGTAAGTTTTTTTGATTATTGCAGATAAAACGAGAGAGTCGCTTGACCTTGGCATTAAGCTTGCAGAGAATTCCGGTTGGGTTTGGGAATTTCTGAATAGTTTATATTTCAAATATTACGGCCGAGTGTGGGTTATACCTAACATTGATAATGAAGCAGAAGTGTCGGAATTGGAAATCCGTGTTCGCAGTAACCAAACCATTCTGTTTTGTGAAGTGGAGGTTATCGGAGGCGAGTAAGCAGCTGTGGTTCTTGTGTCCAGAGTGTGTTTACTGCGCTTATTGTTGGGGTTATGGTGTGAACGTTGCGGTGCTATATGAGTGTTAGTAAACGGTCTACTATAAATGATTGTAAATGCACATTTCGAAATAATGAATCACGGAATATAAAAAAAGTTAATAAAGATGTTTACATAACTCATAAAGCGGGATTTATCTCCCCTAAACTTTATCGAATATATATATATATATATATATATATATATATATATATATATATATATATATATATATATATATATATATATATATATATTATGGGGGATGACAACTCTGGGTATAGACATGAGTTTTAATCAATTTTTAATTATTTCAACTTTTTAAAATAAATTAGATTCTCGTAGAAAAAAATTACACACAAAGTGAGCAGCAAACAATGTCTGCAAAATAGTGCGAATTATTATTAGTACTTTATATGCGTTTTTTGTTGATGAGAAAACGGAAATAGCGTAAAGTATTACTTGTAGTTGACGGAAATTACTCAAAATTTAAACGAAGGCAGATAATTCAATCGTTTATGTATATGATAAACTTCGTTTATCTATCTTAAACAGTACTCAAGTTAGGTTTTTGAAAAACCAAAAGTAGAATTATTTCCACTAAACCTTGATATAGTACTGAAAATTTTATATAATATTTATATATAAAATTTCATGCACCGCCAAGTTTGGAAGGGAAACTTTAATTAACAAACATAATTACAATATCTTTGAGTAGTGTGTGTTGCTGACAATGGTCAGACATTTGCCATTAAACTTGCCTATTTGTCTACCACAACAGACATCCTATGTGCCCCCTTTCATTTTGGCCTGGAGTGTGAGCACGTCTGTTCTTGCCCGTTTCAGAAAAAAGACTGTGATGGTCTTCAGGAATGTTATGTGCCCCATAGACACGAATGGAATTGTAGATATGGTGAGTAATATTTGCATCCTATTGTAGAATTACGAGATTATTCCATTTAAATTGAAATAAAATTCGTTACACGTCAATAATTGGCCTCTATATGTCTAATGTTAAACATGTTTGAGGAAAATAATTTATAAAATATTTATTGCTCAAAACGCATTGTGCTTTACAACACGTTGAACGATATTAGCGATAAAGCAAAGAAAAAACCAAATTATAGCTAAAAATCCGACACAAATTAAAAAACAAACGCTACCAGTACGTATTATAAAATTTTTTTTTTATACATAATTGCCCCAAAATCTTTGTTGAAATTACCTTCTGTTTTCCCCATAAAATACAAAGATTATATTGAAAAATACCACTGGTCAGTTTTTACCCATTTCTAGATTTGTTACCGGATATGGCGAGTTTTTTCTGACACCCCAAGACGTTCTTCTACGACCTCACAAAATATCAAGGGGGGGGGGGGGGGTCGTTCGGCAAAAGATTTTTTGATATATAGCTCATAGAAATATAATTTTATTCGCGGTCATTTTTTAGCACTCGTCGAGGGCTTTGAGTCAAACCGACAGTTTTTCAATACGGCCTAGACATCCATCTAGGACATCCTTTTGAGACGGAAGAGCCAAAAGTTACCATTTACTTAATTTCTCAGCTTTCAAAGAGCCACTAACATTTTTATTTCAATATTGTGATATTTGATTTGGATTAGGTATATATATATATATATATATATATATATATATATATATATATATATATATATATATATATATATATATATATATATATATATATATATATATATATATATATATATATATATATATATATCTATATATATATACATACATTTATTTATATAAAGCAATGTATGTATGTGTGTGTCTGTCTTTTATTAATTACTACACCTTTCATCCGATCGCCATGAAATTTTAGGAAGTTGTTGAGAATACTCCTAGGGAGGTATCTGCGTAAATAAAATGTTAAATTCGCTGGGGTGGCGCCCCGACAGGAAGCGATTCGATTTATAAAAGTAAAAGTCGATTGCAGATTGACACCGTTCATCTGATCGTCATCGAACTTTAGATCAGGTCAGGGGAGGTTTCTGCAAACAAAAAAAAATTATTTTTTTTTTAAATTTCGCAATGGCGGCGCCCCGTGAGGGTGCGGTATGTAAAAAAAATAAAAATCGGATAAGGTTCGACACCGTTTTTCCGAGGGCCATGAAACTTTCTAGAGTAGATGATATAATCCCGAGAAGATTTCTGCGAAAAAAACAATGTCTATGGGCAGCGCCCGGGAGATTTAGATTTTTGTCAATACACGGTTTGACTCTCAGAGTTCCTGAGCGGCTATGTTAACACTTGGCATCCGCGAAAGGCTTTGGATTCAACGAGTTGCTATAGTCGCTCACTAAATCGATTCACTCGCGTCCTCCGGCGTCTCTGCAGAGTGCGGTTTGGCGCCCAGGGCTATCCCGCGAGCACTACGCGCCTACGTTAGTTTTAAGAAGCACCCTACAATATTGATAATGCGGCACACGACATTCGATGATAAAACCGTGCTAGGGGCTGTACTCGACACCACTGCGATAGTGTAATCGGGTTCAAGATAGCGCCACTTTCCGCCCACGACACTTAGACGGTGAGTGATTAACGGTAATATTACGGTGAGTTATAAACTTACACTCAATGCTTTCATACAGCACGCCTCGTGGCGGCAGTGTAGGTAAACCCAAGTCCCGATAATAATTTTATGAGTTTCAAGAATAAATTGAAATAATTATTAATATTTGTGCATGGGGTTGAAGAGCCGCATCTTGACATCAAAAGAACCGCATGCGGCTCGCGAGCCGCAGGTTGCCGACCCCTGATCTAGGAGCATGCAAAAAATTAGCAAGGTGTTCAGAGGGTAATTACCCTAAAATCATAGTTGAAATTGCCCCCTGTTTTCCCCATAAAAAATAAAGATTATACAAGGAAATACGACTGTTCAGTTTTGACCACTTTACAAAGTTTTCCCAGATATGCTGTTTTTTATGACACCCCTAGGCGATCTTCTACCACCTCACAAAATATCAATGGCACCCGAGCACTATGCGTTAGATATAGACTAGGCATACTGCCTAGCTTCGCTTAGGTTTTCAAAAAAAAAACCATTTTAGATTTCAATGATTAATTAATTGGTGATTGGCTGTTATTTAAGTAGAGTGCTGAAGTTTAATAAGTTTGAGTGACTTCATGTGGAAGTGCTAATATGTTCACAAATTAATATCTCGGAAAGTGATTAGAACAGTAAAGGTTTCCCTAATAGTATAACTCGCGTTTTATTTTAAATAAACTTTTAAAATTAATGTTTTACAATTAATTTACGATACATAATTTTATTTATAACGAAATTCTTATTTAAACGAATGATATAATTTGTACTTTTCAGTTTTTGTTGAAAATAATATAAAAAGAATTTTAAAAATATTACTTTAAAAAGTTACCTTTCTTGTAAATAGACCAAATGACGTAGTATGTTTACTTTTCACAAACTATTGTTTATATAAGAAAATACGGCATCTCTACAAATCTAACGGCCCTTAGGGCTTTTTCCGAAGGGAATAATGTTTTCTTGTTATCCCCCAGGGTCGGACTACGACCTCACAAAATATTAGGGGGATCATTCGGCAATTGTTTTAATATATAGCTCATATAAGAAGAATTTTATTCGCGGTCATTTTGTAGCACTCATCGAGGGTTTAGAGTCTGACCAACTGTATTTCCATACGGCCTTGGCATTTATCTAATTAGCCAGATGAACAGAGGTTAACTACCATAAAATTTCTGTTGTAATTACCCTGTTTTCCCCCAAAAAATAGAAATATTATATAGGAAATACGACGGTCAGTTTTGACCACTTTACGAAGTTTTACCAGATATGCCGAGTTTTTTTTATGGCAACCATGCTTTCTTCTAACAGCTGACAAAGTATCAAGGGGGGGGGGGGTCGTTAGGCAATAGTTTTGTTTTCAGTTATATAGCTCATATAAAGAGAATTTTTTTCGCGGTCACTTTTTACCCCTGGTCAAACCGAAAGTATTTCCAAACGACCTAGCCATTTACGGAGTGCATGCAAACAATTATTTATAGTTATTTTATCAGTAGTCTATAATTTATTTTCTACTTTTTAGTGCATTATTACATAAAAGCTTGTTATTAAAACGTTTTTATGAATTTTTAACATAAGACATCTGATGATAAAACAAATGCGCTCGGCCTTCACAATATAATAATAGACCAAATTGAAATTTATTAATAAAATTTAATTGGAATATTTATTTAATATTTAGATCTAAAATTTACCTCTAAATCTAATCATGTTGCCAACGAAATTAGATCTAGATTTTGAGTGACTGGCTCTGCAAGGCAGACATATAATCTAGAATCTACTTATTTAATAAAATTTAACTACAAAATTAATTTAATGTAATTAAAAAAATTAGATCTATATTTGATTCAAAATACGCCAATAATTAATTTAAAAAAATTAGGTCTAATAATAAAGAATGTAATTGTCTCAAAGATCTTGAATCTAGCTATAGATTGTAATAATTTTATCTAGCAAACAAAATTATATGAAATTGAAAGAGATTGTGTTATTAAATATTAGACTTAGATCTAGAATACGCTCCTTAAATTTAATTTTAAAAAAGGTTGCTTTTTTATTCTAGAAGGCTTCTATAAATTACTTAGGCCTGCCTACTATGTGTCTAATAATATGTATCTGATACTAGACTAAGTTTAGTTAAATTTAGAAGCAGATCAGCTGCACTGATTTCATTTTTTTCCCTCACACGGGCCGCTAATGGCTCTGTAATACAATTTGTTTAATAATCAGAAAAATTAACAAGGTTAGATTATTAACTGGGATGTTTCTTTTTGTCAGTACGAAAATCCAAACAGTTTCCTCACTTTGCGAATAATGCAATTAGCATTTATTTTTAGACGATCCAATCAGAAATTGAGATTGAGCTTCTCATAATATTAATAACGCTAACAATTACCGCCTCTGCGATAGTGTAATCGGGGGCTCCAGAGAGCGCCCCTCTACGTCTCTGACACATGGGCGGTCACCGAAGTGTGTTCTACCTCATTATTTCTGTTCGTGATTAACATACACTCAAGGTTTTCATGCGGTAGTGTAGGTAAACCTGTGTCCCGATATTTATGATTCAAACGCAGGCATTTTTAAAAATTCAAATAACTCACTTTTTGAAAACAATGTCAGGCGCCTAAGAATATATTATTAGTAACGCATTGATAAAACCCTTTTTCTATATTTCGACAGACTTTCTTCTATTCCAGCGGCAACGCGCGACACACACACACACACACACACACACACACACACACACACACACACACACACGCACACACTCACGCACGCAAGAACGCACGCACACACACACACACACACACACACACACACACATATATATATATATATATATATATATATATATATATATATATATATATATATATATATATATATATATATATATATATATATATATATATATATATATATATATATATATATATATATATACATATATATATATATATATATATTTATACATATATATATATATATATATATATATTTATACATATATATATATATATATATATATATATATATATATATATGTATATATATATATATATATATATATATATATATATATATATATATATATATATATATATATATGAAGAGTTGATTTTCAAAACGCGATAAGCGCCATTTTTGAAAAAAATGAGCTAAGGTGCCCATATTGTAAAGCTACTCAGTTACTATTAGGAAAACTTAATTTTAATCTTCACGGCGCAAAATTTTCATTTTATTTCTATTTTTGAAAAAAAACGTTTGGTTTCAAAACGCGGCATTGTCGATTTTATTAAGCGTCAAAATGCGGTATCGATTCGGACCAATCCGGGTAAATATTACTATTTATCTGCGCATGCGCATTAAGCATCTCTAAGTGAAACAATTGTTAAAATGGCGGACTTTGATGGTCACGACGAAAGTGTTGTACTGACATTTAAGTCCAGAAAAAAAGAAGAGGTCATGCAAAGAAAGAGAAAAAGAAAAGATCTTTCGTCATTCAGGAGGAGGAATGATCCCGTCCATTTCGTGTAATCATATTAAAGGATTCTGCAAGGTAAGTTGTAGAAAAAACTGTAACTTATCTAACACTAGGCAGGCCCAGGCCTGAGTTTACTTTTTTTTAAACACGATAGTATTACTAGAATTTAGATAGATCTATCTAGCTTGTTCTTTTATTTGTTGAGTGAAGTTTTGAATGTAAATGTATGAATACCAGTAGGTCTAGGCTACTGTCAGCTCTAGCTTAACATTCCAAAAGTAGGGAGAGATTCTAGATCTAATTCTAGTCTAGATTATCTAATCTATATCTACTCTACTACATATTCTAGATCTAGTATTTAGGCCTACTATTTTTTCTAGCTAGACGAAAGTTTTAACAATTCTAGTCAATATTATATCTAAACTTCGAGTTATCATCTAGGTTGTATGTCCTCGTTTGTCTAGTCTAGCAATAACTTTAAGCAAGGCAAGGGGTTAGCCCTAGCTACTAGATCTAACTAGTAGTGTAATTTTTAATATAAAATTAAATCTTCCATTGTAGCAAAACATACATTTGTATTATTTATTTCAGGCTTAAGATATAACACCTGATGACCTGGTGAAATCCATGCAGAGTTTTACAGCAAACTGGACAAAGTGTCACAAGATGCTGCTATAGTAGCTTTGCTTGATGCGGACACCACGAAAAGAGTCAGAGTGAATGATCAGAGGAAAAAAAACAAGACACATGACGATCAAATACTTTCTTTGTAGTGATGGAAACAAGCTGCAAGTTTGCCAGTCTTCTTTTTGTTCAGCATTGTGTACGTAAATAGCTTTACCTTCAGTTTGCTATATTGGATTTGCTCGTACTGCAGTTACTGTCAATAAAAAACTGACTATTGTCAAGAGGTTTATCCGAATATGGAAATTCTCTTTTTTCAATGTTACAGTGGAATTATCTTAATAATACATGGTTAATATATCCACTTTTTTAGGGAAAAACTGGGATTCATTCAACACAAAGGAGCCTGGCAAAAGAAATGTGTAAAGGTGGCTAAAAAGACAGATGTTCTTTGTGTTCTCGAAGCCGTAGGAGTGGAGGAGAGAATAAAGATTTCTTATGAGGCACTGCTATGTGATGCTACTGAGGATGTTGCTCATTCTAACTCTTATGTAGATAGTGCCTAGTTTGTCTGAATTATTTATTTTTTCTTGCTTCACTCATTTTTGTTTTCAACCTGTTTTTTTTCATTTCATACTATTTCTTTTACATTTTATGATTGTAGTATAAACTAATAAACTTTGTTCTTCTTTTAAAACTATTTTATGTTGACTTGTTTAGTTCTTTAGACTTTGTTAACACAGTTCAACAGTAGAAAAGACAAGCTGTACTCTTCAAATTAAAGTCTCTCGTTAGAGACTTGCATCATTTTGAAAATGGTTCAAATAACTGAAATTACTCAATAAAAACACTTTATAGTAACAGAAAAACATGGTACAATTGTAGTAAGATAGTAACACTGGGAATATAAGTGGGTTTTAATAAAATAATAAACTAAAATATTGGACATTAGATGTATTATCAGAAAAAAAATGGATATACAGCGTTTTGTAGCTTAACAAAAGCTGGATATACCTCATTTTGCAACTAAACGCAAATTTTGGGACCAAAAAAAAGCATCTTTTTATGCAGGTACATTTCAAAAACCATTCTAGTCCTATTTATATGAGGGTTATGAACCTAAATTGATAAACAGTTTTAGCAAATTGTACAATGGCTTCGTGTAGGAGAAAAGTGCGATTTTCTCGAAACCCAAATTTTGGATATATTGCATTTTGAAAATCAACTCTTCATATATATATGTTACGGTCAAAGCCCGAAGTGCGGCCAAAGTGCGGATTGCGTGCATTGGCCGGCTCTCTTGGCCAAAGCCCGAAGAACCTAGCACTAAGAGCGTATTTCGTACATTGACCGGCCAATACGCGCACTGGCCGAGACGTACTGGTCAATGTCCTATCTAGACTAAGTTATGATCGCGTTTTCATTATTCTGGGTGCGGTTTCATTGTGAGTAACGTATTGTTTGGCTTTTTTTGTATAGCAGTATATATGCAAGGCGACTTGGATAGAAAAGGCCGTCAACACGGCTGTCAAAAGAAAAAAAAAAGTAAATCCATGTTAGTTTCCATATATGGGCTACAACTGTATGTGACAGCCTCATCCATGATGACAATCATCAAAGAACTAAATCAAAGACAGTCGGCGTCACCGACCACTTGCAACAAGACGGAACGTTCAAAAGACTTTGCCGCGCTCCTTGTAAGTTGAACAATAGTGTCCAAGCGACTTGAGATGGCGTGGGCGTCATGGAACACAGGTCAGCAGCTCACACTGGTTTGCAAACTCAAGGTGCTAAGATGCTTAAAACATCAAATACAAAATTTAAAGATGGTGAAGTGGGTGACAAAGTACGCATCCGTGTTCCAGATGTTGACAGAGGTGATCCCCGAAGCGTGATTGTAGTTGTCATGGGCGTCGAGGGCGGTTTCTACAAATTAGGAACGGAACATGGTGTTCTAAAACAAGTGTATGCTAGAAGTGAGTTTTCAATTCTTCACGAAAAACTGTTCTTATTGTCGTCAGTTGGCACTGAGGTAAATCACTACAAACCATCGCATCTTCACAATCATTGACTGAGGGGTTAAGGCTACACTCGCTGCAATAGCACAACTAAGTGCACAACAAATCGCTGCAAGTGTATAAATAACAAGCTGCTATGTACTTCTAAATGCCATAAAAGTTCAACTTGTTGTAACAAATTATAATATTGATTGATTGAGACTATAGTACAATAAAAAATTTGGATTTTTCTGTCATTTACTTTAATTAATAATAAATAAAAGACTTAATTTCATGATCCTTACGGCATAAAAAAACCAAAATCTGCTCATGATCTTCTTATTCGGACTTCGGCCGGTCGTCCCTAGCCAGATGATCTTCTAATTAAGACTTTGGCCGGTCCACCATGGCCAGTCTGCGGACTGGCCGGCCAAAGGCCGAAATGAAGCAAAGTTTCGGACTTTGACCGACCTATGGGAGGCGATATTGGCCGATCCGCGCATTGGCCGACTTCGGGCTTTGACCATAACATATATATATATATATATATATATATATATATATATATATATATATATATATATATATATAGAGAGAGAGAGAGAGAGAGAGAGAGAGAGAGAGAGAGAGAGAGAGAGAGAGAGAGATAGATACTGAATTTTGATAACTCTGATATTACTAATGATCCGTTGTACTTGTAGTCTGCATCAATCCCTATTTCGACCAAGGATGTGCCTCTATGCACCAGCGTACGTGTCGACCGGAGTTCTGTCACAATGTCGAGAGCTCATGCTTGGAGTGCATGCCACCATATAGGGTGTGCGAAAACGGTAACGTATTGGGTTTGAATTCTAGTCCACGTGTACAGTTACTTATGTTAGGGACCTTTTAGGCGTCTGGGCGTTAAACTGACCAAGGTTGAGGTATTAACACAATTCTTCAGTAATGTACTAACAGAAGAACTAACACAACTCTCACGTGATGTACTTGTTAAAGTCAATTGTCGTTCGAGACGGTCTATTCTTCTAGGTCTACCTGTTTAATACTTGGTTCAACTCTAAACACAATTCAAACTGTTCAAACCTTTATTTAACTTATCATCTTCACCATTACAACACAAGCCCTCGTCCCTAGCTGCAACTAACACCTTGGGATAACAATACCAATAACAACACAGGGGTTAAAAACACACCGGGGTTAACTTAACTCACTGACGCCTCTTCCGTACGTTATAGACTATTCTAACCTATTGTAATCTAACCTACAACTGACCCGTAACAGTACCGAGGTAGAATAACTAACAAAACTATCCCTAAATATACCGATGTAGGGGAACTGCTTACTCTACCGCCATACCTACACTGGTTATTTGCTGTAATTTGCATACATGAATTTATCATCCATTTTAGATGCTCAGCATAAATACACGGACATTGCCAACCCGCTTATTAGAGGTAGGTGTTCAATCATTGAAGATAGCATCAACTAATCTTCTACTGCTCTTTATAAACTTCGATTACATTGCTTGCTCTAACTAAACTGATATCATGGTTTTGTTACGTATGACGACATTAGGTTTTAGTATTACCAGTATTATTATTATTAATGCTTTAATATAGCAGTCTTAAACCTAAATATTATTACACTCATTATGGTAAAAATATAGCCTATTAAAGGGTTTAGACTGTCTCGGGATTTTAGAACACATTTTTTGACTGTATCAGAATCTATTTAATCATATTTTTAGACGGTCTTAAGATTATATAAACTGCCTTGAGTATTTATCAACACATTTTAGAACTGTTTCGGAATTTGATAAAAAATTTTTTTGAATTTCTCAAAATGTGTTTAAACATACTTTTGGACTGTCTCGAGATTGTTGAAACCTATTTATAGACTGCGAACATGGAACCTACGGCCAGGGTTGTGGCTTAAACTGTAGCGTCAAATGTGAGAATCAGACCTGTGACAGCATCACAGGCCGGTGTTTGAGTTGTCCCCCTGGATGGCGGGGAGACTACTGTGAACAGGGTAAATTCGTTTTTATTGAACTTATTTGTAACGTTTGAAGAAAATCTGAAACACAAAAGTGTTAAGAGCATTTTAAAAAAATGTTACTCTGATAATAGCCGTCGCGAATACACACACACACACACACACACACACACACACACACACACACACACACACACACACACACACATACACATACACATACACATACACACACACACACACACACACGCACACACACGCACACACACACACACACATATATATATATATATATATATATATATATATATATATATATATATATATATATATATATATATATATATATATATATATATATATATATATATATATATATATATATATATATATATATATATATATATATATATATATATATATATTTATATTTATATATACTAGGCTTCGCTTAGGCTTTCGAAAACATTGAGAATTCGAATGCTTAATTAATTCGCCAGAGGGTCGGTCTACGACCTCAGGAGTTATGAAGAGGTTCCTACGTGGACATTTTTTTTTTCGATGTATAGCTCATATAAGGCGCCGGTCAGTCGAGGTCAGTTTTGACCCCTCATCGTAGACTTTTCGGCCTACGGTATCCGTGTTCTGTCGCCCCAAGGCAAGATCCTGCCAAATTTGAAGCGCCTACGGCGCCTGGAAGTGCCCTATCGGGCACCCGACAACTTTGCTTTATATATTGTAGAGATTAGCAAATTGCATAGATAAACAAAGATTTCAATAAAGTAATTAAGGCCTTAAATACTTTAGTATAGAAATGTATTATTTGAATATATTCTAGATCTAGGTAAGGTCTATATCTGTGTAAGTCTAGTTTTTCCATAGATCTAGATCATCTAGATCTAGAATCTCTAGCTCGAGATGATCTAGACATAACACAGGCACACACTGATTAAGTGACTTAAATGATTCCGTTAAAAACTCGGCTATTCCACGGTATTCTTCTTGTTTTTAAAGCGATTTATTTTTATTAGTTTTTTATGATCAGATCTATAGATTTAAATGAAATAGTTCATTTCTTCATCGGTAGCCACAGCATATTAAATGCACTCGTTGATTAAGAGACTTAAAATTAAGAGACTTAAAAGATTTCTTTAAAAACGCGGTTGTTCAATGTTGTTTTTAGTAGACCGAGATAGATCTGGATTCTAGTCTAAATCCACATTTTAGCGTCTACGTCTAGTTTTTCCGTAGATCTAGTCTAGATCTAGAATCGAGATCTAGATCTATATCTAGAATCCAAATAGATAAAGTAAAAACTTATAAAAGTTTAGGCCGAGAAAATCGTATTGTATACATTTCATATCGTACGTAGAATCTAGCTCTCAATCATATTTGAATGAAATATTTCATTTCTTTATTTTATTCTAAACTCGGAAGATGACGTCATTAGTTTCGTGCTCTTTTAGTGTAAACAATAAGCGACGTCACTGTTAAATGCGTTTTTTTTCACAACCATATACGCTTTTCCTGTTGCATAATTAACACTGTTTTTCTACATTCGAATACGCCTTTATTTTTTATTTTTCTTCTTTAAATACAATTTTCGTTATACATTTAAAACATCTACCATATTATTTTCAATAAAATTCCGTTCAAATTCACGATATATCGCTGTAGATTCTGATGTGATGTCCGGCGAAAATATTTTGCTGACAGACAGAGAGAGAGAGAGAGAGAGAGAGAGAGAGAGAGAGAAGTGCGCACGTGGGCTATTATATATTAGGATATATATATATATATATATATATATATATATATATATATATATATATATATATATATATATATATATATATATATATATAATTTTTGTGTATTTTCTACAAGTAAAGTATTTGATATGTAGGCACTCTCAAGTTACATACAATTACATTATAGCGTATAGGTTGCCTTAAGCTACATCCGGTATATTAATAATATCATAATACATAAAATTACAGAAATTGGTTTGGTCGACAAACATTTACGGTATTTCGATGTCGTAATATATCTCCGAAAATGTATTATTTACAGAAAAAGATAAAAAGCCAAATACTGTATTACTATAGAGAGTCACAGAAACTGTCTTTTTTTAAACATACGCGCGGAGTCTTTATAGTAATTTTACTATAGAGTTTTTAAATTTTATATCTTTTCTTTTTCAACTAATTTTAAAAGTTAATCGTTTTGATCGATCTGAAACTCTCGCGTCTATCTTTTTGCGCTGATTTAGCCGTTTGAATGTATAGGTTTTGTCTAAGATGCTTTGTGTGTTTGATCCAGTGATAGATGTTAACTATATATTTGAAATGATAACTTTTTTAAAATTTTTAATTTAATTGTGTTTATGTTCACAGACTACGTATGCCATACAACATTTAATACGTAGGAAAAGTCTATGCAATTATACTAGATTTAATTTTTTTTAAATGTGGCAAGCGGCAAGCGATAGAATTAAAGCTACAAGTTTAAAAATTAAAGTCGTTAGTGAATCATCGATTACTCTCATTTTCATATTTTTGTATTGAGCATAAGCCATTGAAAATAACAATGAATTATTGTATCGATTTAAATATTTAATAAAACCGCACTCAACATCACATTGATCTGAACTTATGTGGCCATGGAGAGTAAAACGATGAATGTCATAACAATGGAACACCCAAGGTGATCAAATTAAACAAAATGATGAAGGGGGGAATTTTTTTAGTTCAATCTAGGCTGTATCCCTTTTTATTATAGTTGGCTTTTGTTTGATGACTGTTATTCATAGATTATTAAGATGTAACATTATTCCTAATAATGGTTACCGATTTAAAAGAAAATGTTTTTTAACTCAAGTTAAATTATTTTTTTGTTAGGCCTGTTTTACTCTATAGTACACTCTACACACTTTACCTACGCCATGCAACGGTTTTAATTGTTATTTATTAATTTAGAAATGCAAAATCTAGAATATCTATTCTAATGTATATAAACTTAATGCTTAATACTAACTAGATCTCGATATTTAGATATAGGTCTATGTATTAATACACAATGATATAAATATATATATATATATATATATATATATATATAAATATATATATATATATATATATATATATATAACAAAATTATATATATATATATATATATATATATATATATACACAATGTTATGATGTAAAAATTAATGCTGCTACTGACATTGGAAATCTGTTACACTTCCTTGAAAATTTCAATTGCTCTGTGTCATTGAAATAGTCCAATAAACTGTTTATACCTATTTTAAACAATATTAGTCACAGATTAGTCATGCAAGTAGCAAGACACATGTTTCAAAAATATTGGAAATGTAGACACAATTATCTGATTACGAAATAGTTATTCAACGCAAATTTTTTTACGTTTTATATCCGACAAGAAAGTATTTATATATTTAGATTGTGATAAACACTACTACGGAAAAAACTGTACGGAGACTTGCAGCGAAAACTGCGTCGACCAGCTGTGTAACATAACAGATGGCGTCTGTCTAAGCTGTCCTGTTGGGCGTCTGGGCGACTTCTGCGATGAAGGTGGGTGGAAATGCAGACGTTATGTGCAGTTTGTTGGGAATATCCTGAAAATTAAGCCAGGCAATAATGTTCATTGGTCTGAGGTAAACGTGTTTCATTACTTTAAACAAGGTGAAAAGCGAACAAGTATATATATATATATATATATATATATATATATATATATATATATATATATATATATATATATATATATATATATATATATATATATAATTTTTGTGTATTTTGTACAAGTAAAGTATTTGATATGTAGGCACTCTCAAGTTACATACAATTACATTATAGCGTATAGGTTGCCTTAAGCTACATCCGGTATATAAATAATATCATAATACATAAAATTACAGAAATTGGTTTGGTCGACAAACATTTGCGGCATTTCGTTGTCGTAATCTATCTCCGAAAATGTATTATTTACAGGAAAGATAAAATCCAAATACTGTATTACTATAGAGAGTCACATAAACTGTTTTTTTAACATACGCGCGGAGTCTTTATAGTAATTTTACTATAGAGTTTTTAAATTTTATATCTTTTCTTTTTCAACTAATTTTAAAAGTTAATCGTTTTGATCGATCTGAAACTCTCGCGTCTACCTTTTTGCGCTGATTTAGCCGTTTGAATGTATAGGTTTTGTCTAAGATGCTTTGTGTGTTTGATCCAGTGATAGATGTTAACTATATATTTGAAATGATAACTTTTTTTAAAGTTAAAATTTAATTGTGTTTATGTTCACAGACTACGTATGCCATACAACATTTAATACGTAGGAAAATTCTATGCAATTATACTAGATTTAATTTTTTTTAAAATGTGGCAAGCGGCAAGCGATAGAATTAAAGCTACAAGTTTAAAAATTAAAGTCGTTTGTGAATCATCGATTACACTCATTTTCATATTTTTGTATTGAGCATAAGCCATTGAAAATAACAATGAATTATTGTATCGATTTAAATATTTAATAAAACCGCACTCAACTTCACATTGAACTGAACTTATGTGGCCATGGAGAGTAAAACGATGAATGTCATAACAATGGAACACCCAAGGTGATCAAATTAAACAAAATGATGAAGGGGGGAATTTTTTTAGTTCAATCTAGGCTGTATCCCTTTTTATTATAGTTGGCTTTTGTTTGATGACTGTTATTCATAGATTATTAAGATGTAACATTATTCCTAATAATGGTTACCGATTTAAAAGAAAATGTTTTTTAACTCAAGTTAAATTATTTTTTGTTAGGCCTGTTTTACTCTATAGTACACTCTACACACTTTACCTACGCCATGCAACGGTTTTAATTGTTATTTATTAATTTAGAAATGCAAAATCTAGAAAATCTATTCTAATGTATATAAACTTAATGCTTAATACTAACTAGATCTCGATATTTAGATATAGGTCTATGTATTAATACACAATGATATGAATATATATATATAACAAAATTATATATATATATATATATATATATATATATATATATATATATATATATATATATATATATATATATATATATATATACACACAATGTTATGATGTAAAAATTAATGCTGCTACTGACATTGGAAATCGGTTACACTTCCATAAAAATTTCAATTGCTCTGTGTCATTGAAATAGTCCAATAAACTGTTTATACCTATTTTAAACAATATTAGTCACAGATTAGTCATGCAAGTAGCAAGACACATGTTTCAAAAATATTGGAAATGTAGACACATTTATCTGATTACGAAATAGTTATTCAACGTAATTTTTTACGTTTTATATCCGACAAGAAAGTATTTATATATTTAGATTGTGATAAACACTACTACGGAAAAAACTGTACGGAAACTTGCAGCGAAAACTGCGTCGACCAGCTGTGTAACATAACAGATGGCGTCTGTCTAAGCTGTCCTGTTGGGCGTCTGGGCGACTTCTGCGATGAAGGTGGGTGGAAATGCAGACGTTATGTGCAGTTTGTTGGGAAGATCCTGAAAATTAAGCCAGGCAATAATGTTCATTGGTCTGAGGTAAACGTGTTTCACTACTTTACACAAGGTGAAAAACGAACAAGTATATATATATATATATATATATATATATATATATATATATATATACATATATATATATATATATATATATATATATATATATATATATATATATATATATATATATATATATATATATATATATATATATATAAGAATCATCTTTAGACCTAGCGATCCTTTAGGCAGATGAAGTGGAGGTCATATGTTTCTTGACCTCAGCATATGAAGGAAAGGTGTGTTCAGCACTTTGCCCAGCCTCTTTTGTCTTTCCCTAACATGAGTTAGGTACCCATCAGAGCTGGTCGGACTTAGTAACGATGTACAGACTTGAACCCGGATTCGAACTCAAAACCTTCGGAGTAGCAGCCGAGCGCTCTACCGCTTTTTCCAAGCATTAGACGTTTCTTTGCACAGGGCCTTTGAAGTGGTTAAGTGGTCAGCACTATGTGTAATTTCCCAAGGCGAGTCAGGTACCCATCACAATTGGGTAGACTAAGAGATTGCCCGAGGACGGTTGAGCCTTTAAATAGAATGGAGTGTTTTTGGGTGCCCAATAAACTGGCATCAAAGGCCTTACCTTAAGGAATTTTGGAGACGTTATTCGATATCGAAGGCACGAACATGTATATTTTTGTTCCAAATATATCATTTAATTACTCTGCATAAATAAAACTATTTCTATATCAAGTTTAACTTGATTTATTACATTTTATATTATACATAAAGTGTGTTGATGTAACATTTGATATGTAATATTTAATTTATCCTGCAACGAATTTACTGGACATGGTTATAAACTGCTGCCAATATACTATATACGTAGTTGGTATTTTATTATTATATAGGTATAACCTTGAGTAGCTTATGTTCGGTTGTTATAGTTTTCTTGCAGGCTAATGAAACACGTGTGTTGTAATTTCCTTAAAACAAATGTATAACATAGGTCCACAAAAATTCAATTTCTTGTATAAAACACAAAAATAACAATCTACCGCCTCGATAAAATAAATATTTTTAAGATTTTGATTAGAACAACTTTAACCCTTGAAATACTAGAACCACTTAAACCCTTTTAGAACCAATTTAACCCTTTTACTTCCACAGAATGTAGCGACACAACGTTCGGGCCCAACTGCAAACAACAATGTGACCCTGATTGTGTGTACGCAGCCATTGAGAACAAACGCCTGTGTGACGTCATCACCGGAGATTGTGTTTTAAAAAGCAAATTTCCAGCTGACCCAAATGTTCCTAAAGATGTGGCCGAGACTGGCTTGCCAAGAGAAAAATTGAACAGTCAGGACAAGGACTCGATTGGTATTCTAAACATAGTTTATGACAAATTTAAATCTTAATTTATACATATTCCGATAAATGAAATTAGTGGTAGTTTTAACGGGTCTTAATTTTACAGGGGTAGAGACAATAACATGTACGTAGTGTTTCTTTCAATCGAACTTTTTTCACCGGGGGCGGCGCACTTGATATTTTTGGAAGGGGGTGGGGCGGACTAAATTTTCCGGGGTTAAAGCATACATTTTCTATATCAATTTCATTTCGATTTGGGGGTGGGGGTGGGGGGTGGGCAGTAGACTTTCTTCAGTCTCCCCAGTAATAGATGCCTGAAAGAAACTCTGCTTACATAACTAACATCACTATATTGGAAACACGATGGTATTTTTATATGAGTATGTTATGTTCACTCGTGTATTTGTACTTAATTTTTTATAAATTTATTTTTATTGTGTTTCCATATGTATTTGTATATACATTCCTGTATGGTTCGAGAATGTATATACATCAAGTTTAATACATGACAGAATGTAAATAATTTACAGAAGACAAGGTTGATACATATATACTGTATTTACTGATTGTGCTGCTCGCATTACTTATTGCAATCCTGGTCATCTGCATATTCATACGCAGGTTCGTAGCGCTGTGCAGGGTACTGATTTAATCACTTGTTCTATTTCAATACATTTGCTATTGTGAACAGACTAAATAAGAGAAAATATTCGAGAAGTCTCGAGTTTGAAACCCGGACAGACGAGGCTTAATAGCTGGGGACCGCTACTCATCTGGGAGAGGCACCTCTAAAATCAAACAATTGCTGCCTTATAGTTTGTTCTTGGTTGGACAAAGGCTATTGAATCCAATCCAAGAAGAAAACCATAAAAGAAAGAGTATAGAAAATACCAGAGTCAACGGCCTATATGGCACATGAAAAGTTGATAGGAAATATTGAATTGTGTTGGCGGGAATCGCTTTATAGACTTAGAATTAAGGGCGTAGAAGAAGAAAAAAATGTATATATTTCCTTATAAAATATATTCTAAACCACGTATCCTCTATCTGTCTAGAAAAAGGAAAACAGTTAAGACGGAGGCTGTCGAAGGTAAATCCTATTCTGTTTCATTTTATTCTGTCTCTCGATTTTACCGATTTCATTCTAATTGTGTTGTATATGAGGATGTTTATGATATATATATGTTGAATAATATATATATAAATAAATAAATAAATAAATAAATATATATATATATATATATATATATATATATATATATATATATAAATATATATATATATATATATATATATATATATATATATATATATATATATATATATATATATATATGTATGTATGTATGTGTGTGTGTGTGTGTGTGTTCTTTTTGGAGAAAAAAACATTGGGGATTTGTCGTCTTTTTAAGACACCTGCCTTTGGATGAATGTCCGTCACCTATATGTGTATTAATGTCGTGTTATAGCAGTGTATGTTTTATTTATTTCCGAATGAAACCACCAAAACAGATACGTCAGTGCCCATCGCGAATCTCAAGGTCTACATACTAGGACACAACAAGGAATTCTTTCTTAACCAGTTCAAGGTAGTCACTAAAAAAATGAATTATTTCTTCTTTTTCGTTTCTTTGAAATTTAATTGTGTGTTTACTTCAAGTATATTTTAAAAATGCTTAATGAAAAATACTTTTTCTGTGTTATTTTTTACATGATAGTATTTATCTTCCACAGTCTATACCGACTGTGTATGTTGGTAAAAAAACATCAGAGAAAAAGGACACAGATGGTACCTGTAAGTCGTTGTTTTTTTTTATTAAATCGTCATCGTTTTATGTTTGAAATGTGTGTTTGAGGAAATAAGCTTATGTTTGTTATTGGGTGAGACCTGAATTTATCACGTGAATGTTGAAAGCTGTAACTTACGTCTAAGTGGGATGTTAACCCTTGATTTACTGAATTAGAGTCTGAATGAATTTTTTCTTAAAATAATAAATAAATAGAACAAAGTGTTGTATACGCGTAACGAGTAAATCAGGGAATATATAAGTATTGCAGTGCGTGACATAGTATAGAAGGGTGCGACAGTAATGACAAATAGCTCTAAAATAATGTGACGGAATGTTTGCCATCAGACCAATGTTCACTATCCTATTGATTTAATTCTCAATTTTCTTAATTTCAAGTTATTATTCTAGAATATATTTCATAAAATTCATCACCAATCAAGAACTAACATCCCCATTACACATACATTTCTTCATATCTATTTAAACACCTTTTACACCCTAACTGACCATTGGTCTACATCCCCAGATGACCATGCATGCATCAACGTCACACCGTGGCCTGAGAAAAGTCCTGTCAATTTGCTCAGCCCCTCATTCCTTGCGGTAAGGCTCGATTATTTAATATGTATTGATTTGTTTTTAATTTAATTAAATCGTCCGTGTCTGGTAGGGTTCTTGTTGAATCGAGTAACTCAATCTTTCCAGAAATTTTTATTTCCAATGACAATGCAAGAGTATATAATTTCAAATCTAATTAGATATTACATTGTTAATTATTTTAAATATATTTGAAATATTCCTAGAGTCGGTATCGAAGTTAGCTATAACCACTTGGGAGAGGGGTGGGGGGGGGGGGAGACTGGTGTGTTGTAATCGTGAGTTTACACACCTGAGACTTAGTGACCGACGTTAATGAGACAGGTGTGTCGTCTAGAGAAAAAAGCGCTCGCTAATTATCTGATCTTAAACTAAAACCTCTAATAAATACACGATATATAAAAATAAAAAAAGATATTCGTCTCAACAACTTTAAGTTTTACATTTATCTTTGCAATTTTAATTTCTAATTACTAAACAGTAAAAAAATGAAGTAGACACTTTTGTAAAATAAGGCTTTTAAAGTACTTAAAAAGAAATTAAACGAAAATGTGTTTGTCTAGATAAAGAAATAGTCCTTTATAAAATAATCTTTCATCAAAAAATGTTTGACTACACAAAATGAAAGTGATTTTTGTTAGTACATTTACTTGCTGGCATATACTTTTAAAATCAATACGTTTATTATCCATATTTTATATGGAATTACTTTTTACAAAAAGGACCCCGGTAAATTTTGTGAAGTAAATTTTATTGTGTATGTTCTACAAATATCTCAAGATGTTTATAACTTGGTTTTCAATTATTGTTACAACAAGACGCTAACTCATACCGGCAACACAATGTAAAATCAATAACTTAACTCTCTCTTCCTATACATGACACATGCTGTTTTTATCTTATTCATTTCGGCTAATACATATTTTGCATATTCATATTTTAATACGTTTATACATCAATAATACTCAATTTGTTACTTTGGATATATTAATAAACTAGATTTTGGGTTAAAACATGAATATAAAAAAACTGAATATTTCTAATTTTGACTAACCATGTTGAATTATTCTATTTCTTTAAGTTGGCTAAAGAAGAAATAATAGTATCACAAGGTAACTTGTTAACGTTTTACATATTCTCTAGTAAAATGTGTTACTGTTAAGTCTAGCTAGGATTACTGACTTTGTAATTAGTATACACATTTTTATCATTGAGTGAAGTTGAACCTAAGGTACTGAAATTAATTTAACTTTTTTTATGATGGTTTTAGTGTAATAAAAACTATTTAAATTGTTTTCAATTTACAAAATTATTTTTAAAAATTAATTACAATTACAACGTAAGAGTATCTAATTTCCAATCTAATTAGACATTACATAGTTAAAAAGTACTTTAAATATTACTAAAATCAGTATTGAAATTTGCTAAAACTTGATGAAGTAGCAACGAATATTTGCTTAAGTAAATAACATTTATTCATAAGTTTTTAATAGAAGTTTGTAAAGAGTATTGTTACACTTTGTATAGGTTCGTCTTTAGTAATAATTTTTTCACCATGTTTTGAATAGCTTATTTAGTGCCAATCATTGAACATGTTTATGAAGTTCCTTTTGTAGCTACAAAATTTCCTCTGTGTTTTTATAATCCTTTCTAATCATATTTTCTTCACATCTTCTCGTAGCTCCGGTTGCTGCGACTGAGGTTCTCTTTCTCAATCTGCTGTGGGACAAACAAGTTGCAAAAGTCGCCATGGTCAGCACAGGCAAAAACGATGTAGGTTGCCAAAACACACAAACATCAGAGTACTGCTCCATTATCACATTAAATCGAATATATAAAGTTCACTTCTGACTGTTTGTAAAATGTTTGTCGTGGACACTTCGATGGATTTAAGTATAGATTATTATAGTGCTTATGGTCTAAATTTATGAGATAAAAATTACTACTGAAAGTCTTTAAAAACAGTTTTCATTTTATATACTTAGAAAAATAATTTTCAATTATTAACATTACATAAAATTTAAAACAAGTGTATCAACGTTTATAAAATTTCTAAAATTGTGTCTGAAATGTATTTGCATTTTGTCCTTTAGTTCTCATTTTAATTGGGTTGTGGTTGTTTGTGTTATGTTCGCGGTTCTTTTTTTGTGTGTTTTGGTTTTGGTTGGTTGTGGTTAGTGTGGGCAATGCCGGATATATGCTGATTACAAAAAAAAAAACATGTCATGGTCCTTTACAGATAGGTTTCTCACAGAGGCTAGAGCAGGGCCTGGCCGAGACGGCTTGTTGATAATATTTCGGATTTTCCCACCGTAAAATGTGTTTTGAAACGTGTAAGATTGGTATAGAAAATATGTTAATAACAGCGGTTTTGTTTTTAATTTTTTGTTCGAAAATACTTTATCAAAACGTCATTTTTTTCAGAATGAAGACAACTACTGGTCAATGAATGATCAAATAATTTATTGCTATAGAGTGAAGACGGTGAAAACAGAAGTTTTTTTAGATTATACTATTCGGACTTTGGAAATTACAAAAGTAAATTTTATTTGAATTCAAAAGTTTATTTTTTTAAAACAGTATAAAATTTAAACTATAATTTCAAGGTCGAGTGAGAGAGCACTAAAATACAAGAAATAACAAATATTACGTTTGTGCGCATTGACAAAGTAAGATATAGATAGATATTTTGCGAAGCCTTTGAAGAAAAAAAAACTACTATATTTATTTTTGTATGAACTTTAAAATTGTATTAAATGTATTATTTATAAGTAAAATTGCATACTGTTATGTATCTGACAGTCACTAGTCCGGATGAAGTAGAGCTTACCCATTTCCATGACCACGGTATATGAAGATAGTGTGGTTAGTGAAATGACCAGCTGAATTTTCTCTCTGATGTGAGTCAGGAACCTATCAAAGCTTAGTGGGCTATGGGGCGTGACACAGATTCGAACCCGGGATCCGAACTTGAGACGCCCGACCATGCTGTCTCATATCAATTTACTTAGTGACAACAAGCATACACGAGATGACTGTTTGCCGAATTCTCGCTTCTAATTTATATTTACAGTAAACAGCAACATAATTAAAAGTACTAGAACAAAGTCATACAAAAACAAAACAATTATATTTACACACCATATCGAATGAAGGAAAGGATATTACAAAAACTCACATTAGCATAGGATGTGTTAGGTTTTATCGAATTTTCTGCCATCTATAAATATAATGCTTGTTTCTTTCTGTCTTCCCAATGACAAGGACGACAACCCGCCACGTCAGTTGACCCACTTCCAGTACACGGCCTGGCCGGAAGACGGGTCTGACCCGTGTATGTGGAGTATGGTTGACTTTGAACATAAGGTCTTTTTCAACACTCTGGAAACTGTCACACTGGTGCATTCTGGGTAAGCTTGGAAAGACATAAAAACGACATTATATTTTACAACATGTATTAACTGTTACTATATATATATATATATATATATATATATATATATATATATATATATATATATATATATATATATATATATATATACCATTTAATTTATTTTTTTGTTAGTAAAGTAGTTAATATGGTGGTTATATTTGATATACATTTTCTCGAGTAAGTATTATATATAGATATATAGCATTTAATACAGAGATAACAGAAGCGAGTCTGTACTTTATCAACTACTTCTGCCATTGTATATAGGCACCACATTTGACACATTATTTCCCGTGTGTATCTAACAGGATGGACACAACGAGAAGCTCCGTGTTTATAGCTCTACACGATTTGATCCGTCAAGCCAAGCTGAACCAAGCCGTGGACTTTGTCGACACGGTGTCTAGACTCCGACAAGACATGCCCAACACGGTTCAAACCTATGTGAGTTTGATATCTACAACTCTAACTTTAAACTATTCTTGGTTTAACTAACTATACAACATAAATGTTTCTAATCATAATTAAAAAAAAAACATTCTTTATTTATTAACATGTTACAAGAAATGACATTTTTACACTTGCAATGTTTTCTGACTAGCTCTTTAGTATAAAAAAAAAAAAAAAAAAATAAAAACAACGAAACATTAAATGAAATATTCTAACAAATTGCAAAGATTTTTTCCTTCAACGAAAGATTAAAATTATTTCCTTCATAAAATGTTTAAAACAAAAACGTAGCAAATTTATTTGCTAAATGAAACATAATATTTAGATTATTTTATGGCGAATTTTTAACTTGATATTAGATTCTGAAAAATTCTAAAACAATATTAAATTACACTAATATTGTAATTGATAAGAAAAAAAAAGAAATTGATATTTTGTTTTCAAAATAACTCTCACGCGAGATGTTTTAGAATAGAGTTATCGAGTGAACAAAAAAAAATGTTGACATTAAACTCGTATGTAGAGGTTACATTGTACATCGCCTTTATCTTTTAACAATTCAAGAGTAGGATTAGTAGTAGCCACAACTATTGAATCAAAGACAAAGACGGGAAATATTGAAACAAGATGGAAAAGCAGGAAAAATTTAATTTTTTAAAGAATAAGCTTCCAAGGGTGCAGACCACTTGAGTACGCTCTAAATGACACCAAACCTAAGTGGGGCAAACCAGGAGAGAATGGACGAGAGAAAGAGAGAGAAGGAGAGAGAGGAAGAGAATGAGAGAGGGAGGGATAGAGGGAGGAAGAGAGAGACTAGTTAAATAACGAAACATGTGTCTTCCAGGAGCAGAACATGCTCCTTGACCAGGCCTCAGAGAGAAAGAGAGAGAGAGGGGGAGAGAGAGAGAGAGAGTCTAGTTACTTGCATTTGTTTTCCAGGAGCAGTACATGTATCTGCACCACGCCGCGCAGGCTGGCATCGCCTGTACAGGCAGCTACACACACATCAGCGCCATCTTTCTCAAAGTACATCTCATGGGGAACGTTGTCAACGGGAAAAATAATTTTGAAAATGAATTCAATGTAAGTTTGTATTCAGTGGCTTTGTTTCTTCGTATTGTGATTGTAAATAAAAATATTTTGATGAAGACATCAATGTTCAATGAATAATATTTTTTTTCGACACTCGGCAGCTCTTATTATGCGGGAGTATGGTTTCTTACAACTATATAATATGTTTAATAAATTATGTTTTCGACTATCAGATACAACCAGTATAGTGTGCCGGAATATCTCAAATGAATACTATGCATTATCTTTTGTACCAGATTATGTTGCCGAAACATAAGTAAAAAAAGCATATGTAACACATATGGTTACCAGCCAGGGGAGGGGAAAATATGAAGTTTTAATTCATTGAGTTGCGGCCCCTGTGGGGTCGTGGCCCTGTTGACGTAGTTGTTTTTTTCATGCTCTGGTGAGCGATTTTACCTGTGTCATGGGACTGTAGGTAGTTTCATGCCTAGCCGTGTCAGTCACACGCAAGCCTGCTGTCTGTGGTCACGGTGACCAAGATGTAGACCTAATGAAGGTAGTGTAGTTACATAAATTATGTTTGTTAAAATACTTATTTGTGTATTCCTGCTAGTGCTGCACGTGCACACTAGTTAGGGTGAGTATTAATATAAGTATTTATTTGTAGTACTACTTATTGGTACTTGTTGGCAGTACTGTGTACTGGCCGAAACATATTTTATTGTAACTGTGTATATTGTAGCTTACACGTGGTGTTGTCATGAATGTAACTTTTTATTTACATTTGTTTTAGGGCTACAGTTTTTTTTTGTTTTCTTGGTTTCTTGTTGCTTCAGTATTTTCTCTCGTCGTACTACTGTGTTGCATCGCCGTCATGGCTCGATGCTGTGAATAAAGGAGTACTTGACAACAACTGTCGGTGTCAGTGTGTTCTTACTCTCAGGGTCAGCCCGTATTAACCACAACACCTCAGTGGGTAAAAGCATCCCCACTGAGTGAGGGTTACACATAGTTTGTAGTCATATCACTTAATAGACTCTATTTCCTCATCTACATTGGTTGCAGCCTCATTAGCCTCGGGGTAGGTGCTTGGGTCAGCCAACCTAACTTTAATAAGAATTAGTTAAACATTACATACTGTTAAACATGTGCTTTTACGGCATGATTTTTATTCAAGTAAATCACTATTAAATTGGTGTTCAATACTTATTATTTCAGAATCTGTTTAGTTTTGAGACACAACTTACTGGTGATGTAGGGGACGTTACCCAAGATCCAAAAAGTAAAAATAGATTCTTCATTATACCAGGTAAGTGAATACCAACAGTAAAGATAGATTCCTCATTATACCAGGTAAGTGTATACTAACAGTAAAGATAGATTCAGAAATTCTATCAGGTAAGTGTGGATTATGAGTAAGATTGATTCACCAATCTAGAATCTAAGTATGTAAGAGGTGTAACACAACATTCGATATTGCACCAGGTAAGTGTACAACGATATTAACTATAGTAAGTGTGAAAATAGTTTTTATATTTTACTACTAAGTGTAAGGACAGATTCAACATTCTACTAGTTAAGTGTAAAAATAGGCACAATATTCTATCACTCAGCGTAACGACAGATTAAACATTCTACATAGTAAGTGTAAATATAGAAACACCATTCTACTTGGTAAGAGTAAATATAGAATCGATATTCTACATGGTAAATGTAAATAAAGAATCGACATTCTACCTAGTAAGTGTAAATATAGAATCAACATTCTACCTAATAAATGAAAATATAGAATCGACATTCTACTTGGTCAGTGTAAATATAGAATCGACGTAAACGCAAATGCAAACACAATCTTACACGCAAGCGCAAACGCAAACACAACCGTAACACAAACACAAAGACAAAGACAAATGCAAATGCAAATGCAAATGCAAATGCAAATGCAAATGCAAATGCAAATGAAAATGCAAATGAAAATGAAAATGCAAATGCAAATGCAAATGCAAGTGCAGATGCAAATGCAAATGCAAATGCAAATGCAAATGCAAATGCAAATGCAAATGCAAATGCACATGCACATGCACAAGCACAAGCACAAGCACGTGCAAGTGTACATGCACATGCCTATGCCCATGCCCATGCCCATGCCCATGCCCATGCACATGCACATGCACATACACATACACATACACATACACATACACATACACATACACATACACATACACATACACATACACATACACATACACATACACATACACATACACATACACATACACATACACATACACATACACATACACATACACATACACATACACATACACATACACATACACATACACATACACATACACATACACATACACATACACATACACATACACATACACATACACATACACATACACATACACATACACATACACATACACATACACATACACATACACATACACATACACATACACATACACATACACATACACATACACATACACATACACATACACATACACATACACATACACATACACATACACATACACATACACATACACATACACATACACATACACATACACATACACATACACATACACATACACATACACATACACATACACATACACATACACATACACATACACATACACATACACATACACATACACATACACATACACATACACATACACATACACATACACATACACATACACATACACATACACATACTCATACAAATACACATACACATACACACACATACCCATACCCATACCCATACCCATACCCATACCCATACACATACACATACACATACACATACACATACACATACACATACACATACACATACCCATACCCATACCCATACCCATACACATACACATACACATACACATACACATACACATACACATACACATACACATACACATACACATACACATACACATACACATACACATACACATACACATACACATACACATACACATACACATACACATACACATACACATACACATACACATACACATACACATACACATACACATACACATACACATACACATACACATACACATACACATACACATACACATACACATACACATACACATACACATACACATACACATACACATACACATACACATACACATACACATACACATACACATACACATACACATACACATACACATACACATACACATACACATACACATACACATACACATACACATACACATACACATACACATACACATACACATACACATACACATACACATACACATACACATACACATACACATACACATACACATACACATACACATACACATGCACCTACAAATACAAATACACATACTCACACACATACACACACACACAAACGCAAACGCAAACGCTAACGCAAAAGGAAACGCAAACATAAACACAAAACAAAACAAAACGCAAACGCTATGGCAAACGCATCACTTAAACACAAACGCTAATGCAAACGCAACACGCAAATACAAACGCAAACGCAAATAAAAATGCAAACACAAAATAAAATATAACCGCAAACGCTTTATTAAATTGCTTAATCAAACAAACGGCCGTGTATTCCATTAATAATGTTCTTACTGTCGTGAGTTGAAATGAAGCTTGAGAAACGAAGACAAAGTAGCTATACTGTTGACCGACGAACGGAAGTAGAGAAATGACACAAGCGGCTTATACTATAAATTATTTCTGATCAATTAACTAATCTATGTATTGTTTAGACAAAAAGTATCAACCTCTTTTACGAGTGGATTCCCCCGGAGAAGAGGGCTATATCAATGCTGTCACATTACCTGTAAGACTCTGTTTTTTTTGCTTAGTTTTTAATGTTTTTAATTGTATACAATCCTAATATATAAAAGCCCATTGCGCACTTCTCTCTCTCTCTCTCTCTCTCTCTCTCTCTCTGTTCGCAATATTTTTGAGGCTATATGATCAGTATGTTCAGCGATATATCGAGTACTTAACGATGCGGACTATTGTTGACAATAATATAGTGGATGTTATAAATGTACAAACTAATTTTTATTTAAAGAAAGAAAATAAAAATTTAGCAATATACGATATACGATTGTAGAAACACATTATAAATTATGCAACCCGAAAAGTGTTCATGGTTGTGACAAGATTGACTTGTACTTGATTATTGGGCTAACAATGATTTATACTTGATTATTCTGCTATTAATGATTTGTATCCCATATAAAACCAGAGCCTGTACACCCAGACCAAACAGTTTCTGACCCAGCTGCCCATGCCCACTACTGTCAATGATTTCTGGAGACTGGTCACACAGTATAACGTCTCCTTGATTGTTGCTTTTAAATCCTATGAAAAGGACACGGTAGGTTTGTGTGTGTGTATGTGTATGAAGCGATAATGTGGTTATTACTATGTCAAACCGCCTTTACATTCCTTAACGTGAGACAGGTACCCTTTAAAAGCTGAGTGGACTCAAACCAGGGATCCGAACTCGAGGTTTTTGAGTTATCAGTTAACCGCTCTACCATTTAACCGCTTTCCTCATTGAGTGCTGTAGTGTAGTGTAGTGTAGTGTAGTGTAGTGTAGTGTAGTGTAGTGTAGTGTAGTGTAGTGTAGTGTAGTGTAGTGTAGTGTAGTGTAGTGTAGTGTAGTGTAGTGTAGTGTAGTGTAGTGTAGTGTAGTGTAGTGTAGTGTAGTGTAGTGTAGTGTAGTGTAGTGTAGTGTAGTGTAGTGTAGTGTAGTGTAGTGTAGTGTAGTGTAGTGTAGTGTAGTGTAGTGTAGTGTAGTGTAGTGTAGTGTAGTGTAGTGTAGTGTAGTGTAGTGTAGTGTAGTGTAGTGTAGTGTAGTGTAGTGTAGTGTAGTGTAGTGTAGTGTAGTGTAGTGTAGTGTAGTGTAGTGTAGTGTAGTGTAGTGTAGTGTAGTGTAGTGTAGTGTAGTGTAGTGTAGTGTAGTGTAGTGTAGTGTAGTAATGCCTGTGTATTATGCCAGGTTAGACATTAATAATAGAAGCTAGTAATACAAGCTAATAATATAAGCTAATAATAGAAGCTACTAGAATACCCGTCATCCGTTGGATAACTGTGGGTTTCGGGGGTCATACATAAAAAAACATCACGTCTGTCACTCAGAGGCATAGCGACCCTTCCCGACGCCCGGGAACAAACTTTTTGATTTGAACCCCCCCCCCCCCTCAAACTTTTGATGTGCACCCCCACCCCCCCCCCCCACTCAAACTTTTGATTTGAACCCCCCTCAACCTTTCAATTTATTTTTCTAAATTATTTTGGCGCCCCAACATATGTCCCCCCCCGCCCCCCCCTTCCCCCCTCCTCCCCTTCCCCCCCCCCCCCCGCCTCCCCTCCCCCTCCCGCCACCCCACCTCCTCGCTACGCTACTGCAGTGTCACTTATCGTCACAAAAAACAGACCCCACATTCAAAAATATGTTTTTTATCTTTTAAAAACACCGATTTCGGACTATCCCTTCATATACTGACGTCACATGTGACCTACTCAACTCTACTTCACCTGCCCAGTGTCTCGCCAAGTCTCAGACAACATGTTTTTATCGTTTAAAAAACGATTCCAGCCGAGCATGTCTCTGACCACACTATCCTTTCATATGCTTAGGACAAAGAAACAGATGAACTCTACTTCACCTGCCCTGTATCCTGCCAAGTTCAGATAGGCAACTTTATCATTCACATCTAAAAAAAAAATTGAAAAAAAAAATATCATTGACATATTGGTCTAGAACCTGTGCCACCCGCATAAGAGCCGACTACGCTACCAACTTAGCTATTTACTCGTGACGTCACAAATGAATTTTTATACTATACTTTGAGTCTCCTTATGCAACTTGATTTACGCGCATAGATCTAGATCTAAGTCTTGCAGTAGTAACTTTCAAATTAAATTGTATCTTAAATTAGCCAAACAAAGATTTATATAAAATAATTAAGGCCTGAAATAGATTCTAGATGTATTAAGGCCTGAAATAGATTCTAGATGTAGAATTTACATTAAGTCTAGATGTAGAATTTACATTGAGTCTAGTGACCTAGATCTAGGCTAGATCTAGATCTAGGCTAGATTCATAAATTTCCTTCGACAGCTGATCTTTAGATCTAGAGAAATTTATTGTAAAACTAAATGAAAAAAGACAGTTTAAAATTGATATAAGTGTTGGAACGTAATAAATACAGCAAACTGACGTATTGTTAAAGTTATGACCGACAGAAAATTATATTTAGAACGCGTTAAACTTTTGAATGGGAACACAATTTTCTTCGATAGACGCCGCCATTTTATTGTACAAAAGAGTAAACAAAAAACTGTGACGTCACGGTCCCGCCGAGTGTAGTGGTCGTTCTAAACTTTTAAAAAAAAAATAGGGTTACTCTACGTATGAATAAATCAATAAATTAATTAACGTCTTTAAATAAATGTGTGATTAACAGTCTGTCTGCATTAAAAAATTATTCTCTACCTACATACTATTTTACAGCTCTCCAGATAGAGTCGAATATATCACAATACTCGATCGGACAAACAAAAAAACAAACAAAAAAAAAACAAACAAAAAAACAAATAAATATTCAAACATGTAAACAAACTTGACTTTTAGTAGTATATAGATTTATGGAAGCTAATAGTATAAGCTAATAATATAAGCTAATAATATAAGCTAATATTAGAAGCTGATAATAGAAGCTAATAATAGAAGCTAATAATAGAAGCTAATAATAGAAGCTATTTATGGAAGCTAATAATATAAGCTAATAATATAAACAAAATAATATAAGCTTATATTAGAAGCAAATAATAGAAGCTAGTAATAAAAGCTAACAATAGAAGCTATTAATAGAAGCTAATAATAGAAGCTAATAATGAAACTTATAATAGAAGATAATAATAGAAGCTAATAATAGAAGCTATTTATGGAAGCTAATAATATAAGCTAATAATATAAACAAATAATATAAGCTTATAATAGAAGCAAATAATAGAAGCTAGTAATAGAAGCTAATAACAGAAGATAACAATAGAAGCTAATAATAGCCGCCAATATTAGACGCTAATAATAAAAGCTAACAATAGTAGCTAATAATAGACGCTAATATTAGACGCTAATAATAGAAGCGTGCTGTGTCGACTTCAGCTTGTGACCAGGGGTAAGAGCTTGGTTCAGATGTTTAAAAATATATCGAGCTGTATATAGGTACCCGACTCAAGCCAACCATAAAATATGGTGAAAGGTTTACAAGTAACTGAAGAAGCCGAGACGGAATGTTGACTTGATGAGTTGGACGGGAAAAATCTGATGTTGTCACTTCTGCAGCGAGTGGTTTCTTGACGGCCTAATACATAGTTTGTTATACCAAAAATCTAAAGCACCCCGAACTTCAACGTGTAAATGTTGACATAAAGTTAACAAAAAAAACATGTTTTTTTTCTCCAGGCCTTAGCTATCTACTTACCTGAAGAACAAGGCCAGCCGTTACAATGTGGGAACATAGCTGTCAATGTCGAGTCAGTAACAACAGCACCAACATGGACAGAAATGAAGCTCAGCGTTAAGGTAATGTTGCACAATACACTGCTGACATCTTACACGTTGTTTGAGAACTATATAGCGTACGCTTTTCATCATAGAAACGCGAAATATGCAATTAAGATGTTACACAAAAATACATTTATATATATATATATATATATATATATATATATATATATATATATATATATATATATATATATATATATATATGTAACTATTAAAACATGCATATACATATATATTCATATATATATATATGTTTCGGGATTTTTAAGTATACTAGTATTAAAATACTGCTTTGAATTTTTCATTTTTCACCAAAGTTTTTTACAATGTAAGAAAGGACACTGTAGCTCGAACTTAATTTAAAAAAAAAAACATTTTTTTCTTTCTCTCAGGGGAAAGAAACACAAGAAGTGACTCATCTCACGTTTACAGAGCGTCATATCGAACCAAAAAATCTCTTACCGTTTGTTCAATACGCGCGATCGCTGAGAACTCAGGATAAGTCAGTAGTTTACACATGCAGGCAAGTGTGTTGGTGTTGCGTTTTATTTATTTATAGCAACCATATGCGTAATTGTACATGAATGCTTGTTGTTATATGTGTTGTCTTTGGTATTGAATATAAGCTTTAACTTACGCCCATCCACCACTAGCTAGACTAAATCTATAACATCAGATAGCATCGTCACTTTCAACCCCCCGACATAGACAGTTCCACTAAAGGCACCAACGCAGTATATAGACCGATAGATCTTTAACTGAAACGTCGTGGTGGTGTGGTAGAGCGATCGGTCCGGACATTCCTGACTCTATCCAGGCTAGATGGGTACATGACTGGTGTTTCCGGACATTTCTGACTCTATCCAGGCTTGATGGGTACATGACTGGTGTTTCCGGACATTTCTGACTCTATCCAGGCTTGATAGGTACATGACTGGTGTTTCCGGACATTCCTGACTCTATCCAGGCTTGATAGGTACATGACTGGTGTTTCCAGACATTCCTGACTCTATCCAGACTTGATGGGTACATGATCGGCGTTGGGGAAAGTAAAGGCGGACGGGGATAGTTTATCCCCACATTCATATCCCAGTGTAAAAAAAGTTATGAAATATACTTCCTTTTCCATATGGATCGTAGAACTTATGCCTACTTAGTGTTATAGCTAGGATGCGTGATACATGATGTAGTCCCCCCCCCGTCCATCCCCATTCTTTTTACAACCACACCAAAGTAAAAGTTTTCATCTACGAGTCAAATAGAAATTAGGTAAAGTGCAAAACTTACTTAACCATACTATTTTTAACTACTGTAGATAATTAGATATTTGCAGATATAACTGGAGAACTGCAGTATTATTTATAGATGACCATCTGAAGTAAACAAACTTAACTCAGACCTTTGAACTTTAACCTCAGGTTTGTGTTTATAATTGTTTTTTCCAAGAAACGGCGCCGAACTGAGTGGACTGGCCTATGTTGTGACAACTCTGATGGACAGACTTGACCAAGAGAACTATTTGACCGTTCCTGTTGTTGTTGGTAAAGTCAAATCCATCAGACCGCACGCCATTCCTACACTTGTAAGTCTAACCAATTATTTTCCTTATCTTACGTTGTCCAAGTACTTGAGTACATTGTGTGCCAATCTACACTTTGCAAATGTTTTCGATTTTTTTTTCTAATTTATGCAACACATACAAAAAAAGCCTATGATATATATGTTCTTTGTTTACCTACAGCAACAGTATATACTTGTGTACGAGACAATGAAACTCTACACTGAAGCAGTGATCTCTACAGAGAGGCATCGAGCAGAGTACAGCTCAACTGTCTGATGTGTGTATGCCCTGAGTATCAACATTGGAAGTCATAGACTCTACTGTTACATATTCTGCATCGCATGTTTTTTATCATACGCTTTCATTGAGTTTTGTTTTAATTTTTTTAAATGCGTTACAACACTAATTTCAATTTGAACTCTTCTTTACAAATATTATTCGTATTATAAATTTCATACTTAAATATTTTTAAAAAAATATGTTATAGTTTTCAAAGTATTCTATTAAACATACATTTAAAAGTTGGAAATGAATTTATTTTTCTTTACACAGTGTTTTACTATCTTATTTTTAACATTTAATTAAATGTTTAAACTGGAAATGTGAAAATTGCAACTTAATTTTAATTTGTAATGAATAATGTGTTTGACATGGTTTAGTAGCGTATACAACGGTTATAAGTGCAGTTAATGTTAATCATTGTGCCCAACTTAGATCCACAGTACAATCATCGTATCCATCACAATTTTCATGTGCATGCCAGGTAAACTTTAGGATGTATTTAAATAATAAGACGTCTCCCATTTCATTATAAACAACCTATTGTTGTAGGCAACTACAAATAGTGTACAAGTTGTTTTTTTTTTAACTCTTACATAACATAAGCTGAAACACAAATAAACATCACAAATCAAAATTAGAACACGGTATCTAATGAAACGGTATTACAGAAAAACAACTCTTGCTTTCAAAAAATCCTGTATTATTTTATAGTTTATATTTCTTGAGAAAATGTTTTTATTTCTCTATTAACAATTGTGTCATGAATTGTGTAATACTTTTTTACGGCTTCATGTTGTACATTAATTAGTTGTAGGCTACATATCACATGTTTCGTGAATAAAAGAGAGTTTTTTTTCACACTTCTCTGTCACGGCCGGGGTGCCTATTTTGTAGATAAAAGGTCACTATTACTATGGTGAAATTAAAGCAACCATAAGATCTCGAGATACATACGAAAATCTCCATATGAGAGAATCGGAATAAAGTTTGGTACGGTCCACACTGACAAAAAAAGGTTACAAGGGCATTAGAAAATGGCTGCCTCTGGTCATCAGGAGAAAAAAAGTATAATGTTGCTTGAAAAACGGAGGCAGTTGGTAAACCTAACAGGAGATCTTTACAAATTCATAAAACCTTTGTCAAATTATATTGACCAAACATATAAAAGGGTGAATGGTACAAAGGAATCGAATAAAGCAATTGAATTCTGTAAGAGGGGATAAATAGACTGTCAACTCCCACATTTTGCCTTCACAAGACAACCCACCCGATAAACTAAAGGTTGTGTAGGCGGTGAGAACAAAACCCCCTTTTCCTTACAAGTTAGAAGTGATACGTGTGGTACTGCCATTCACTAACAGAATGGAAGCATTGATGAGTAACGATAAACAACAGAAAACCACAGTCCAACTACCTACAAGAAAGTCCGACAAGGCGTAGGTCTGTGTTCACTTTTGGAACCTGACGGTCCATAGGGAAAGTGAAGTAGAGTTAACGTGTTTCTGTGACCTCGGCATATGAGTGGATAGTGTGGTCAGCCGCCTTTACTTTCCCTAACTCGAGTTAGGTACTCATTAGTGCTGGGTGAAATCATGAACGTTCTACCGACTTGAACTCCAAACAGTTGAGTTAGCAGTCTAGGTATTTATCGCTAGACCACGCTGTTGATGTAGCGTGAGGGTAAATAAGAAAAACAACTCTCAACATTCAAATGACATAACACAAAGTTTTTCGATTAAAACTTTAAAAAACCGTTTAGTATACAAAACGAGCATAATTGCAATTCTGTTAACATTTTAAATGATTTTATTTGTAAAATGTATTAGTATGAAATATAGTTATTAAGTAGACATGTGAAGATTCAGCTAAATCAATATTTTGGGTAAAGAAAAACCAATGTACAACGTGATTTGTACTGTAGACCCTGCATTATAAAAGTCGTGATTAAAATACACCCAAGTTTGACCTTAGTTACTCATGTAGTGGAAAGGAGCAGACCAAAATAAATAAAATACGCTAAATTACCTAAAATAGGCTTTAAGCTAAATATAAGTGTTTAGTGAATATTACAACGAAATTAAATTATCTTTTCTGGAGACTATAGAATATATTGTAATGATTAAACATTTTTTTTACATTTTTTTTACATCCAGTCATTTTCTTGAGTGAACAGTATTGCGTCCCTTGTCTATGTATACATCTCCATTACAAAAGTTATCAAATGTGTGTAATAACACACATTTATTCAATTATATTTTGCCTACACTCTAGTAAAGTTACTTTAAATTCCTTTACAGTCCGTCGTAAATTTTAATATCAAACATTGAATGTGTCCATTAAAAAACACTTTAGAAACAGAAAAAACAAACAATTTCCAATGTAGTACAGTATCGTAAAGGCATAGTACAGACCAAAACTAAATTAACTCATATATTTAAAATTTTGTTACATAAATGTAACAGGGACTTATATACAGAGCATGTTACACAGAAAAAGATCCAATTAATACACATACGCATAAAAAACTCATATTACTAAGACTTACAGACCCATATAACACAGATCAATTAAATAGACCCAAGTTTAAACTTTCTTAACTTGTTAATTCATTAGATCGCCTTTTCCACAAATATGGATGAACGCATTTAAAAAAAAAAAGCCCAAAAAAACAATTTTTCGAATGTACGCTTGCCCGAACGCGACAAACGCCCGAATGGACACTTGACCAAATGCGACGAACACTCGAATGGACGCATGCGCAAATACGACATACGCCCGAATATTACTTGCCCGAATGCGACTGATTGTATTTCTAGAACTCGTCGAGAGTTGGAACATCCGTTTGGTTGCGGCAAATTAAATTGTAAACAGTGGATTTCTTACAAGAAGTGATGTGAAGGGGAGGGAAGTTGGGTCCCTCACTTGTAGCCTCCCCTGATTGTGTTATCCAAAGACCGGCACTGCTAATGTGTACATAGTTGTAGCCCTTGACTGTGTTGTGTTATGGAATGATAGGTGTTCACGTGGAGACTGATAGTTGACGTGTGCTGTGTCGTGTGTATGTGTACGACAGTTGGTTGCGGAGTTTGGCAGAAGAGTTGACCTGTTTGCTGGGGATTGTTAAATATCTGGTTATTGTATTTTGTTTTATTTATCTTTTAAAATAAACTTGTTATTATAAAACTAAATTATTTTTATTAAGTATCTTGTATAGTTTTGTATGTCGTATTATTGTTTGAAAACGGACCATTTAGTAAACATAACAGCAGATCTTTACTGATTCATAAAGCCTGTGTCAAATTATATTGACAAAACACATGAAAAAGGTGAATGATACAAAGGAATCGACTCTAACTCTTTTAGTTGAACTGTAAAAGTGGGGATAAATAGACTGTCGACTCCCGCCTTTTGCTTTCACAAGACAACCCACCCGATAAACTAAAAGTTGTGTAGGCGGTGAGCACAAAACACCCTTTACCCACAAGTTAG